ATAGCTTGTTGTGATCCACACAGTCAAAAGCCTTTGCAGAGTCAATGAAGCACAGATCGACATTCTTTTGGTATTCTCTGCTTTCTGCCAAGATCCATCTTACATTAGCTATAATATCCCTAGTACTGCGACCTCTTGTAAATCCAGCCTGCACATCTGGCAGTTCTCTGTTGACATATTGTTCCAAACGTTTTTGGATAATTTTCCGCAGAATCTTGCTTGCATGTGATATCAATGATATTGTTCGATAATTTCCACACTCTGTTGGGTCACCTTTCTTTGTACTTAAGATTAGTAAGTAAGCACAATTAAATCAGTGATCACCTTGCTCATTGGATTATCTGGTGCTGAAGCTGTGTGAGAGAACGTGAGGACTATTGACAAAGTGGAGCAGAGGGGAAAAGGAGAGCAACAGAAGTCTGTCATAGACAATGAAGGGATCCTGGTCAGAAGGACACAGAGAAGAAGCAGGACTTGCTGGGATGTTAGCTCTGGCCTTTGTGGGTTGTCTGGGAATCTGGCCCCATAGGTCCCAGGTCTTCTGCTTAGAATGAAGTAGGGGAGTTAAGGATTTATGTACACCTTGACTGATCTTACTGCAAAACTAAAAAGCCAAATGCAATTCCATGCTGGGACTTTCATTTATTTTTCTATTTGAAAACACTCAATATTTTCATTGACGTAGACTTTTCTCATGGCACTTCTAGGTCAGCGGATATATACATCTCCTGTGATTTGAGACACCAGATAAAAATCTTTTCAAATTCATTGGAATACCACTTTAAATTCTCCTGCTAGGTTAAGCTGACACGTGTATTTCTGAGAACTAGGTTATCAATGTTTTACAAAACAAAGATAAACAGTCTCTCCAGGTCTCATTGTGTTACTGCTGAGTCTCACCTTCCTTCACAGTTGGACTATTAATTCTGTGTTCACTTAGTGGATATAAAAGGAGAAGAAAGTGTGTGGACTTATAAGAAAAACTCCCTTTATTCATTTATTTGCTTTTCTCAGCCTGTATATTTATATAGATGAAGCTCTGGTGATGTAGTCCATGCAGAGCTATGCAGTTTACTCAAGAACTGTTCTTCTGTGGAGTTTCAAATCCGCCAGTGGCTCCAGAAAGAGGGAAAATCTCCTCCTAAGTCATTTACTACTTTGGAAATCTGCTCAGTGGTCAGCTCTTAATCTGTTCTGGTTTGACAGAACTGAGTTGAAGAGAGAGAGAGAGAGTGGGAAAGAAGGAGGGAGGTCGGTCTTCCTCACCTGGCTAACGAATAAAACTAGGTGTGAAAGATTACAGGGGATCATGTCTGAGCTACAGAAGCAGCACAGTGTACAGCAATTTTAGTGACCCTTAAAAGAAGGGTACAGAAAATGTGGTGACCCTCAAAGGAACCATTGTGTGTCTTGCTTATAATAGTCCTGACATGGGCTAAGCCCTTGTTAGAGCACATGGACTCCACAGGATAGCTAGATTTCTGAGAGGAAAGGTAAGAAAGTAGGAGCAAAGGTGCGGGAAAAGGCAATTTATTGCCAGAGATAGATTCCAGGGAATTCCATTGAAAGTCTGGGTGGAGTAGTGAGGGTCATGAGCTACGAGGGGTTAAAAGGGGTTAAATTTCAGAGAGAGGAATGGGCCATTCTCTATTGAAAGGGTGGGTAAAGTAAAGGGGGCCATGGGCTATGAGGGGTTAAAAGTATGTTTCAGAGAGAGGAATGGGTTACTCTCGGAGGAAAATAATGGAAAAGGAAAGTAATGTACTGAATGTAAAGGAAGGTAATGGAGTGAATGTAACGATAGTTATGTCCCAGAGAGAGGAGCAGGCCACTCTCCAAAAAAAATAAAATTTGATGGTGGTATTACCCTCTGGTTCATTGTTCTTGACATCACTGCATGATAGATCTAGAGCAAGTAAAAAGCTTACTAGCTTGCTTTGGGGACAGTTTTCACTATGCTTGTTAGAACTGTCTGTTCTTTGGTTTTCTTTGGGTAGGGTATAATTTTAGCCATTTTATTTGATTCTTATCCTCTACTGGTTCTTAACATGAGTTGCATCCTGTTTTAGTTACTTTCTTTAGACTTTTCCCATTAACATAAATTTTTTACCATCCTCATCTCTTTGGTATCTGCCCTAATATTCTTTCCTTCCTGACCTCACTTCATTTTACTCATTCTGAGGCTGTTAATTGTGATGGAAAGAGGCTTCCCATCTTTGGGTGGTGGATTTGAACGATTGGAGACTGGAGGCCTTTAGGCTAGTAGTACAGCTAACTATGGACTAAGCCACTGGTGCTCCTTCCATAATGGTTACAAACCTGGAAGTTCTGCGGGGCGGCCTTGATCTGCCCTATAGAATCCATGAGTTGAATTGGCATAGACTTCATGGCAGTGGGTTGGTTTTTGCCTTTTTTTTTTTAGATATTTAATTCTAAAAACTACTTAACATCTTTATAGTGATCAATGGAGAAGAAATATGTAGACTTTGAGTTTTAACATGCTTTATGTTTTTCCAAAGTAAACCATTTTGGAAAAATTAGTGCTCTAAATGGTTGCCTTTTGTGTACAAAATCTGTAAAATAAAGAGATCACACTGAACCACTGAACTTTTATAGGAAAACAGATTAACACGCTCCTTAAAAATAGCAATGATTTCCCATTGCCTTTGTTTTGACGTTTTCCAAATTCTGGAGGTTTTGATCCACTGAAGCATTCATTCATTCCTCATCATTTAATGGACGCTGATAATGTATTGATGACTGGAGAATACTTACAGCCCTGGCTATCAAGTCTCAGTTCCTGGCTCACTTGCTTGGTTCCTTCACAATGCTCTGGGGTCTGAGAAGATAGGACAGGATCTTCTTGTCTCTGGCAATAGTTCCTAGGACAGTGCCTTCAAGAATAATAGTGCAAGCAGTAGAGAACCGGGTGCTGTCACAATGAGAATGGCTCTTGGTGATCCCATGAGTGTCAGAGTAGGACTGCGCTCCGTAGAGGTTTTCACAGCTAACTTTTTATAAGGTTTTTATTGATTTACTTACAATAATACATAAATACTGTGGTTTGTACATGTATTTTGTGTTTTATAGATTGATATAAATTTTCTATCATTAATTATTATTAATCTATCCCTATTATCACCCCATCTTTTCAAGCCTCCATTGAACCGTAGTATAGTCACATAATGCAATACTATGCAGCACTAGATAACAATTATTTAATAATATATAACTTGAGAGAGACTATAGAGCATTATACTAAGTGAAATATCACAGTCACATAAGGAAAAATATTGCACAGGGCCATGATTATGACAGTAGGAGGATAACTGAGTAAAATATATATAAATGTTCAAAAAGGGAAAGGAGAGAATGGGGTCAGAAAAAGGGGAAAGGAAACTCATTAGAATGGTAGAAGTTAGTGGGTAGGTGGGAGTTGAACAGCTTACTTTTTAAAAATATATCTTCTGATGCATCTCAGGGTGGAACCAATTTTTTAACCCTTCCATACACTTGTTTGTTGTTATGGGCCATCAAGTTGGAACCAACTCAGATCTGACCTTTTAGGTGTTCAGAGGCTATAAACCACATGGGAGGAGAATTGACCATCTTTCTTCATTGGAGCAGCTGGTGGTTTTGAACTACTTAGGGACTCTGATAACTGGCTTCATAACTTCTCTGATAACAGAGAGTCCACAGCAGTTCATAAATGAGCTAATAAATGATCAGATTGAACCAGGTTGAGTTAAAAAATCCTGAGTCCAACATAATTAACCTGAGGTCTCATTGAGGAAATGACTTGTCATTTAGTGGTTTTGTTGCATTCTCTTCTAGTGCCCTCTTAAAAGGGATGTTGTTGTTGTTTTTATCAAGTAGAAACTGAGCCACAGTTGACCCTCCAGCAGGTTTTCAGAGGCAGTTAATAGCACAGGAGGAGACTTCCCATACTTCTGTGGTGGAGCAGCTGGTAGATTCAAACCACCTGCCTTTGAGATTACAGCAAGCTTATTCTCTGAAAGGTGTATTTGTTTCTTGATGTCAGTTTCCTTTTTTCTTCTTTATTTTCTTTTTTTTTTAAATTAATTTTAATGAACATTTACAGAGATTTTGGACTTCCATTCATTCATTCCTGCACTTTTCTCCCTGCCCACCCCTGCCCTCCAGTTTGCTCCTCTCCTTGACAAGAAAAAAGAAAAATTCCTTCATTGGTATACAATTCCACCAAGCCACTCCCCCCCACCCCAAGTACTCTTCTCTGTGCAACCTTAATTCTCCAAGTACTCTTCCCTATGCAACCTTAATTCTAGACTCCTATGCTAACCATAATACCCAATCATATATCGCCTTTAATCTGTTCTTTCCCTCATCTGTTTCAATACAGTATACATACTTATCCAGGTTTTTTTTTTCTCTCAGTCTTACCCCAACCCTGATGTCAGTCCCATTCTACAACAGTGGCACCATGCAGTATTTGTCCCTTTGTGACTGAGATATTTCACTCAGCATAATGTCCTCCTTGGTCACCCATTTTGAATAATATTGCATGAGCTCCTTATTTTTCAATGTGGCCTAGTATTCCATTGTGTGAATATACCACAGCTTCTCTATCCATTCGTTTGTTGATGGGCACTTAGGTTGCTTCCAACTTTGTTATTGTAAACAAAGCTGCAATAAACATGGGTGTGCATATATCTGCTTGGATTCTCCTTTGTTTTCTTATAGCTGCTTGTTGGGATCGTGGCCTTTCTGAGTGGAGTGCTAACGCTGAAGCTTCCGGAAACCCTCGGGAAGCCTTTGAGGACTACGTGGGAGGAGCCAGCAAAACTGGAGTCAGGAAAAGACAGTAGTTCGGACAAATTACTTCCTTCAGTCAATAATGTTGTGCTAGAAAGAATAGGAGTGATTAATGCAGATGACGCTGGACCTTGTGAATAAATGAGCCATATGTGCTGTTTAGCACCTGAACTATTGTTTACATTCATGCCTTTGTATTAGGGAAATGTCACTCTCCTTTCCTGTGTGCTGTTGATATGTATTTCCTCCCTTTTGTTAAATGTTTTAAAATTAATTTGTAAAAGAAAGAAAAACTAAGGTGAGAATTCTTATTTTCAGAAAACCACATTTTTACTGCTTGTGAGGTATTTTTCTATATTTGCTTTTCTGTGTCCCTGATTTTTAACCTTTGTACAAAGGTCCCCTTCTGCCTGCCAACACCCGACCCCCGACCACCATGTGCCTTCGGAATTGCAGTGCAATTGTCATCTGAGTAAAAAGAGTGTATTTTTCTTTGACAAAGCTTTTCGGAGATTCTTCTTCCCTTCCTATAGAAATCATAGCTCTATCGAAATCTTACTCAGAAATGCCCTGTCAACAAAAGATTGTCTTCATAATTTGACTGTAAAAAGTAGTTTTTAAAAAAATGGTACCTTGTTTCCTAACATCCTGAAGAAGGTTTGAAATGCAAACTGATGAGTTTGTGTGAGGAGTATGTTTTGTAGACTGGTATTCTTAGCCGTCCCCCCAGCCCCCTTTACTCTATTTCTCCTTCACAGAGAAGCGGTGGGGTGTGGGTGGGTGGGTGTGTGCGCGCATGCGCGCCCCCACACCCCTCTGGTTGGTTTTCAAAGGCAGTTAATTGCACAGGAGGAGATTGCCCATCCTTCTCCTGAAGATCATCCGGAGGATTTGAACCATGTGCTTTCGGAATTGCAATGCAGCTTTTACCACTAAGTCACCAGAACTCCCAGGGAATTTGACTTTAAATACCATCTGGATTTGTTGCCAATGTGAAAACCTAAGTATTTTTGCCCTTTTTTTTTTTTTTGGTGGCCATGTTAGTGAAAATTTTACTTTATAATGTGTTAAATTTTCCTTCTGGCTGCATTTAAAACCACAGTTTTGCAGAAACAGTTTAATATCTTTGACGTTTTAACTGAAATATTATGTCATAATCTTATTTGTGATAGGAAATCAATTTTGTAAATCCAGATTTACAATGTTTTTCATGAGGTTTGTGGTTTTCTTTACTATGATTTCATCATAAATTCATTAATTTTTTATTTGTGCTTGAAATTTAGCTATTGCCTGTGCCTTATAGCTAGCGCATTAGAATTGATGAACTATTAGTATTATCTTCAGAGGCAAGTGAAAGAAGGATTAGACAATTATACAGATGCTATTGTGTCTAAAAAGCATTGCTAAGCGGGAATAAAGAGGAGGATATGACCTGAATTATTTAGACTTTTTATATTAATTTCATTCTCTGGATAATTGCTTAGTTCTTCTCTTGGCCATTAAACTTATAAAGTGAAAAACAAAACCAAAGCCTTTCTAAGTGGAAACCACAACAAAATAAAAAAAGTAAGAGCATAGGAGAAGAAAGAGGAAGACTCTTTTTACCCTTACATTTTTAAAAATTGTGATTTGTGTAAAAGTTTACAAAGGATACTTACTGGGTTTTTGTCAGGTAATCATTTGTGGATATTTTGGCCCATAATTAATTACAATCTTCACATTTCTTTTTAAATTAAAAAAAAGTCAGATTTCTTTACAGTAACAAAGAAAACACTGAAAAGAAAATAAGTAAAACAATACCACCTACAGTAGTCACTCACAAAGTGAAATACTTAGGAACAAATCTAACCAGAGATGCAAAAGACCAGTATAAAGAAAATTACCAAACACTGTTCTCCAGACCTATTCAAACTGTATGTTGAGCAAATCATTAGAGAAGCTTTACTATATGAAGAAGAATGTGGCATCAAGATTAGAGGAAGACTCATCACAACCTGCGTTATGCAGAAGACGCACCCTTGCTTGCTGAAAGTGAGGACTTGAGGCACTTGTTGCAGAAGATCAGGGACTGCAATCTTTAATAAAGATTACATTTCAATATTAAGAAAACAAAAAATCCTCACCACTGGGCCAGTAGGCAATATCATCATAGATTGAGAGAGGATGAATTATCAATGATTTCATCTGGCTTGTATCTACAATCAACACCCTTGGTGCTAGTATTTCAGGAGATCTGGAGATATATAGCATTGGGAAAGTCTGTTGTCAGGGATCTCTAAAGTCCTGGAGAGCAATGACATCAGTTTAAAGATTAAGATGCACTTTATCCAAGCCACAGTCTTTCCAGTCACCTGCTATAAATCTGAGACCTGGATATCAGATCCAGAATTTCAGAAGAATTGATTCCTTTGAGTTGAGGTGTTGGAGAAGAGTGATGAATATCCCATGGACGGCCAAAAGAATAAACAGCTATCTTGGAGGAAGAGAAAACAGAGTGCTCCTTGAAGGCATTTCATCTTTATTTCTTGAAGAAGTTTTATTTTACATACTTTGAGCATGTTGGTAGGAGAGGCCATTTCTTGGAGAAAGACATTGTGTTTGGAAAGGTAGAGAGAGGGTCAGAAAAAGAGAAGACCCTCAGTGAGATTAATTGACACAGTGATTGCAGCAATGGGCAAGTGTGTCAGAGAGGATGAGGATTGTAAAGGATAGGACAGAGTTCAGATCTCTTGTTTATAGGGTAGTTATCAGTTGTACTTATGGCACTGAACAACATCAGAAGAAGCAAATAGAGACCTATGGAAAAATGGAAAATAGACTATGTTGGTGGTTAGGAAGACTTGACATTGTGAAAATGACAATACTTCCAAAGGCAATCCCAATACAAATCACATCACCATTCTTCAAAGAGATGGGAAAAGCAATTGCCCACTTTATGTAGAAAGGAAAGAGACCTTGGATAAGCAAAACTGTACTGAAGACAAAATAGAAAGCCTTAGTCTTCCTGATCTCAAAACCTGCTACATAATTGTAGTAGTCAAAGCAGTGTGGTACTCATTGTTGTTGTTAGGTGCCATTGAGTTGAGTATGACCTAGAGTGACCCTATGAACAACAAATCTGAACCCTGTCCTATTCTGCTCCATCACTTCCCAACACATTGAGCCTGTTGCAGTAGTCACTGTGTCAATGCAC